CTGGCAGAAATTTCACACTTTAATACCCCAAAATACAAGAACCTGTTTAGCAAGATCAAGCAGGTTCTTTTACGCGGGTAACAGATAAATTATGATAAACAATTTAACAAAAGAGTGTAACTTTGAGTTGTAAATTCAAGTATGTCAACAAGAACATGATCAGTTGCTAAGGTTATAATATAAAAAGACTCTTTGGCCGGGACTAGCTGTAACCTTTTCACAAATACAAAATTACAACAAACCTCTTTTGATTCAGGACTTTTATTGACTTTGTAGCTTCTAGTTTTTACAATTCTCTCTCGTAATTGATGCTACACCCACTTTTAAATCAGCCAGAGAACCAGCCGCTTGATTCAAAAACTAATGCTGACGTAACTCTAACAAGGGGAACAATACTCACAATTGTAAATAGATGTTACTGTTAAACAATAAAAATGCAAGCAATGGAAATTGTAATTTATGATCAACTGATACCAACTCCATGAACAGTATTTAAATAATAATAGTTAAGATAATTCCCCGACACATCATTGCATTGATTCTTCAAGCTGTAAATATAATGACCTGTAAGAAGTTGCCAGCCAACCGTGTTGTAATCAGACTCGTAAGGTTGTGTTTTTGGTATCGCAATTACCGCATTGTTAATTCGTAAGAACATTTAGCCAGTCACATTCGGAGAAGAAGCTACACACCTCTCCGAAATCAACAACGAGTCAGGATTTTCAAACTGTAATTTTAGTACTTTTCTATCTGTTATTATGAAAAGTTTGTATATGAGTAAATACCATGTAGTTTTTATAACAATCTGTTATCTCCTTCATAAAAATTAAGAACCTTATTAAGACCCTACTTAGCCTAAATTTCCATACGTACCCCAAAATACAAGAACCCATTTTGCCAGACTTCAAAAAGTGTTGGTTCTTATTAGCGGGTGTTTACTGTATATGTTGGTTTTGGGGTATGGTAATGTATGGTAATGAGTTTAAAGCAAAGGGAAATAAAAATTGAACCAAGGATAAAATTGAACCACATCAAAGCGTTGTTGCACACATTCGGCTTTTTGAGGTGCGAGCGTCGTCAGAGGCAAAAGACGACTGCAGAGTTGAGTCAGATTTTTGATGCAATACATGGGAGAAAAATTGCAATAAAGGTTAATGTCACGGTCTAACAAATTACCTTCTCGGTCTTGAGTAAAGCGCTTGTTGCTCATTTTTCTGTGCTTTTCTTCGAAGCAAGAACACCATTAGAAAGACAACCAAAAGGAAGACAGCGACTCCTGCCACCAAACCGGCATACTGCAAAGCAGACAGACTGCCGCTCATGGAATAGGTGGATGGTCGTGGGCTTGATTCTAAAGGTGTGGCTGTTCCATCTCGTGAAAACATAACAAAAAAGAAGCATTACATAAAAACCTAAAATCCTGCCCCGGGGGGCTGGTATGTATCTTTTCACCTAGTCTTGCGTTCTGATCATCGACTGGACTGTCGACTGTTGACCAACTATGGTAGACTGCATTATTATGAATATGCTAGTAGAGCAAGACTTTAAGTTTAAAGGAGCTTAATTTTACTTTATACATAGGTTATTCGCCCAGGCTTACTTAATTCTATTCGGAAATTCAAGACATTTCCGATTCCCTTATCGCACAACCTTTAAGTGAACATTTTAATAGATTTAACTTTAAGGTGTCTGAATACAGTTAGTCAGAGGCCATATTTTTCAATCGCCTTAAAAATGGATTTTTCCTTGTCCGATCGCTGTAAAATTTTCACCAGTAACTGGCTAGGGATTGAAATTTGTGAAAAAGCGCTAAAAGTCCAAATTTTGAATGAAGTTGCACTTATACAGGTGGTGAGAAAACGGGTTAGTTTTTAACATCGCAAGAACGAAATACACCAAAATTTCCTACCATCGAAATATGACATTAAGCAGCATTCTGACGCTGCTTAAGAATAATTTGAGCCATTTATAACTTTTTTATTAAATAATCTATCACGGCTATTGAAAATTTATAGTTTGAAATATATTTTCGTTTTAGACGAATTCAAACATACACTCAGAATTTTTTTTTTACTTCTTACAGAGGTTATTTGCTAAACACCAAACTTGAAGTTCCTAATGTTGGATTTTCAGTAGCTGGTCTAGATCGCGCAAAATTAGGCGTTTATCAATTTCAAAGTTTTTTGTTTATTGTTGTCGTAGTAATATCGATTTAACTAAAACCTACATTTTGACAAATTTCAATCTACAGTCAACCATTGGTGAAAATTTTGTAGCGATCAGACAAGGATAAAATCACTTTTAAAGCGATTGAAAAATATCGGTATGGCCTCTGAAAAACTATATCGAGACACCTTAAGTCAAACTCTAACCTGAATTTGTTGTAATTTCCAGTGTTTTTGATCTGTTACTTTCTCCCAACTCATTCCAGGCAGACACTTCGATCACATACCGCGAGTTACATTTTAACGTCAGAATGAACACATTCTCTTTGAGATCA